GTGCCAGCAGGGTGTTAATTTGCTTAAACCCTGAGTAAATATTTGCAGCAATTAAACTCTGTAAGTTGGTGCTTCTGCTGCTCACACTCACCTGCAGTATTGACCACAGGATCTGAGACTGTGCTTCAGCTGTGGGAAGTCTCAGGAGCCTGAGCCCTGATTTCCCCCAAGAAGAGAAGACAAATCCACTTTGTAATCAGTGACTGCAGGATTTGTCAGCCTGAGGAGTGAGTGAGATTTCTCAGCTGCCTGCTGAGGAGCTGGGGAGCAGCAGGCAGCAGATGGTGCTGCAATGCTGCTCTGCAGCAGCTCGGGAAGACCTGGCTGGGAAATCCTTGGGAATCTCTGCCCAGCCCTGTGTTCTCACACCAGCAGGCACTTGCTCCTGTTCTTCTCCTGGAGTTTAACCTGACGTCATTTTTGACAGGGATTCAAAATCTGTGAGTGGTGTGCTCTGGGAAGGGATTATTGCATGAGCAGCTCGGTCCTGTGGGGCTGCCCAAATTGCAAAAAAATCCCCTAATGCTTCTGACACCTCATTGTCACTGTCAGCCTGTGGAAATGGCCTGGGTGGATTTCATCCCTGGCTGCCAGGAGTGTGTGGGACCCCACAGCTCTGGTGCTATGTGATATTTTTATTAATGCTGCTTGAAACAAGTGTGGATTTGTTAAATTTGCAGAGCGTGGAAGAATTGTGGTGTGCAGTGCAAAGAGGGTGAGAGAGGCCTGAGAATGGGCTACAGAGGTCACTGAACAATTTCATCCTTTGTTTTCCTGCTGGAAAGGACATGATGTTCTGATCTCAAATGAAATAAAAATGGGAAAAGAAATCCTGCAGCAGTGAGGAGCTGCTGGGAGATCACCTGGGGAGAGGGGAAGTCTGTTCCTAGAGTGACACAGTGGGTGGAAGTTGTGTTTCCCCATCCATGCTTGCTCTGTTTCTCTGAAAAACCACATGCTCTAACCCCAAGGGCTTCTCCCTTCCCTCAGAAACCCTTGGATGGGGAACTGTGCACATGGGAAGTGCTCCTGAGCCATGGAGGGCAGCAAATGTTCAATCCTTGGAGGCAGCACATCCTCTGCTGGGACCTAGCTCTCAAAAGCCAGATTATTTTCACCTCCTGGATGCTCCAGGGTTGACCTGGCCCTGGAATTTGGGCACCATCACACACGTGGCTGAGCCCTGAGTCATCCTGGTCCTTTCCTGCCCATGCTGCTGCTCTGGAGCCAGTTACCAGCAGCAGGATGAGTTCACATCTTGCCTGTTGCAGAATCACACACAGAGCAAATTCCTTCCTCTTTCTCCTTGCAGACATCCCTGTGTCTGGCTTGTACCTCTGCTTGTGCCCTCTGAGCCACCAAGGTCTGCTGGCTCTTGTGCCTGAGGTGTTTGCTGGAGGTTGTGTCCTTCCCAGAGCATCCGTGCCACTTGTGCCCCAGCCTCAGGAGTGTGCATGGCACCTGTCATTTGTCATTGTCACCTGAGCTCCCAGCCTGCTGCTCTTGGTGATGGGGGTTCTGGTGGGGACACGTTCCTGCTGTGGGGACAGCTGTGGTGAGTCCTTGCTTGCAAAATCACTTTTTCTTCACTGAGCTCTATGGGCAAAGGCAGGCCCAGGTGCAAAACCTGCCTGTGTTTTGTTATTTCTGGTTCTCTGCACTGTTTGGGCTCTTCCTCACCTTCCTGCAGGGCGTTTTTGGGGGTAGCAGGGTCAGCTCTTTGGAGGCACACAGGGGAGCCCATCCTGGGGCTGCACTGAGGCATTTAGCCCAGCAGTTTTCACACCAAAAAGCACTTTGAATCAGTAGTGATGCCTCTCCTGGGAGGAGGAGGAGGAGGCTTTGTCATGCTGAATTACACCCAGAAGGGTCCAGGCATGGGGGCTGCAGGAAAAAAGTGGTTCTGAAAAGGATAGGAAAGGGCTGATGGCTGCTATTACTCCTGGCTTGATCCTAAAAGCAAAGCGAAGGTTTCACAGCTCTCCTGCTGGGGAATTCACAGAAGGAAAATTCAGGAGAGAGTGTCTAGAGAGACAGATTTGAGAGTGGAGAGATGCTGTGGGTGCTGGAGTGCACAGATCAGGGGGGATAGAAGAAATTCTCCCTAAAATGAGTCAGCCCCACATCCTGTGGTTGAAAAGGAAAGGGATCCAAGCAGACCCCAGGATTAGTCTTGTGCCAGTTAATTCGAAAGAGAAATTCCAGAGAAAGAGGAAGTCGATAGAAAAAGCCTGAAAATTTAAAACAGTGCTATAAAAATCTTCCAGCTCAGCAGTGAGGTGGCCCAGGAAGCTCTGAGGGACTTGGTCAGAGATGAGGATGTGGTGGAAACCGAAAGGAGAGAAACAAAGAAATAGAAACCCCTGATGATCCCAGAGGAGATTTGATGTCCTGAAGCACTGCAGTGATGGTGACACATCCCAAGGCCAGTGAGATGGGATGGGCACATGCAGGGAATGTGGAGAGGGAAAGGCTGGAACCACAAAATGAATCCAGCCCTGGGGAGCAGCAAGGGGTCAGCTTAGGAAATGGGAGTGTCTGCAGCAGCGGAGGCTGCCTCAGCTCTGCTCCTTCAGGGCACAGAACCAGCGGTGTTAGAGGTGGGAGTGTCCAAAAAGGATATTCTGGAGGAAATTGGGCAGAAGTGATGTTGTTCTGCTGTTCCAGAGTGAAGGGATGAGCTGAGCCAGTTTCAGAGTGAGGCAGCTCACACCAAAACCACCTCCAGGCCTGCAGGGGAACGAGTGAAGCTTTTCCTGGGAAGGAGAGGTTTCCTGGTTTGCTGGTGGTTGGACAGCCCTGAAGAACATTGGATTCCACAGCAACACTGCCTTGAGGGACACCTTGGGGTCTAAAAGGCTCTGGGAATTGGCCCTTGTGAAGACAAGGCAGCTCCTCCTGGGGAGGAATCTCAGCTGCAGGTGGGATTGCCAATGGAACGTGCTGGTGGTGATGCCTTGGGAAGGCTGAGCTGGCACAGAGGCTGGGCAGAGCTAAAGAATAAAGCAGGGATTTATTCAAAGGATCTCCTGCATGGGTCCACCTTGGGCAGCACCAGAGCCCAGCCAGGGCTGCACCCAAATGAACCAAAATGGTCCCAAAATACACAACAGCTCATGGGGGCTCTCACTTTTATAAGTTCTGGTTCATTTGCATATTGGAGTTAATTGTCCAATTCCAGCTTCAGCCCAGGCAGTCCCACCCTGCTTGTTTTTCTCTCTTCAATTCACTATTATTTATGCTCTTGGGCTGAGGTTTGGATCATTTGTCCTTGGTGCCCAGCTGGAGCAGGAATTGTTTTGTCTCCTGCTCTGTGCACAGAGCTCAGCATCCCCTCATATGAAGCCCAGACCCACACACTAAAGCAGCTCAGAACGTGAAAATAGAAAAGCCAAACCTGAGGCATCAGTGGGGCTGGTGTCAATGGGAGCAGTGTTTGGTTTTATCTTGGGTCAGAAACCTGTGTGAGAACCTTGCAATGTCCCCGTGCCAACTGATGTCCTCTCTGTTGATTTCCAGCCTGTCCTCACACCAGCAGTGCCCCCTGTGCCTCCTTCCAACCTCTGGTGCCTTCACATCGATCAGGCTCTCAGTTTGCAACCCAAACCTTTTGCATTTATCTCTTTTCCATGATAACATCAGTCCTGTGGGGCGTGCCATGTGCTTTTCCCTGCCCATCCATTCCCAGCTCCCAGACTGGAGGGGCTGTTCCTGTTACCCCTGTCCCCACAGCAGGATCCTACTCTGCACTGCTGCCTCGGATCCCTCCTCCACCCCTCAAGGTCGTCAGAATCCTTTGGTGGGATGTCCTGGCCTGCTCCAGATTGATGATCCCATCTTGTTTTGCCTCATCAGCACATCTCCTCTGCCTTCTCCTGCTTTGTGTGCCAAGGTCATTAATGCAAATGTCAAGCAGGATATTTTTTGAGGCAGAAACTCAAGGAACTGTGTGGGCAAGTCCCTGTGAGTGTGTCACAGCCCCTTTCAGCTGAAGCAATTACCATGCCCCTTTCAGGCTGCTCTTGACCAAATTTACTTTTCATATGCCAGTCACATCTTCCCTGCCTTTGCTCATAATTTACTATCTGGCCTTAATTCAAGTGTCTTCTTGAAGCCCAGATGAGTGAAATCTACTGCATTTCCTTCAGCACAAATATCTCTGAACTTAAAAAAGGCAGCTATTAGGTGTGGTATTTCAAATATGTCAGGATAATAAGTTCAAGCAAAAATAGTTTCCATTATATCAATGTGCCTGTAGACAAAGAGTTGGGTGGCACAGAAATTTGGGTCTGCTGTCCCCATGTCCTGTGTCCTGGCTGAGTGCCCTGTTTGCTGGGTGACAAACTGGCTGGTGGTGTCACCAGTGGTGTGGGACAACAAAGCTGAGGAAGGATCTGCAGCTCAGTTTTGTCAATTTTTTTAAGCTATTTGCTGATGGATTCATCATGGGAATAATGTTGATTTTTTTGCTGTTCCTAAGTGGTGTTTTCCTTCATCAAGGACACAGGAGCTGCTGTAAGGGGGCAGAGTCAGGACAGGTGATCCAAGCTGATCAAAGGATATTCCATCCCATAGAAAATCATATCCCAACTCTCCTGTGGCACTACAGGTAGTAGGACATTCCCCAAACTAGAGCCACCACTGGCAGCCCCAGGTGAGACACAGGTCTTACCTGTGGGGACAAACTGGGTGGCACCAGAGCTGGACCCAGGCTGGGGAACAGCAAACCCAGTGGTCCCCGTGGTCCCTTCTCCCACCTTGGTGCAAGGAGGCATCAAAACTGACCCTTCATTAACAGACACGTGGATATGATTGAAATGATCTTTATTTTAGTGTATTATTCTGACATAGTTTAAATAATTTTTGTCCTTAGAAAATATTTAGTTTAACTTAAATAAGTTAAATAAAATAATTTTCCCCGTTGAAGACGGCTGGGGGTCGAATCCTCTCTGGAAGCTGTGCAGGGGTGGCATTGTGGCTGTCAGCAGGGAAGGCTCAGTTTTCCAGGCTCTGGAAGTGCTTCTGGAGCTGCTGCACCCATGCTGCCCGTGGATCTGCACACACCTGCTTCTTCTTCTGGGTGACCACACTGCGGGGACAGAACCTGCCTTGAGCTGCTGGGCTGGGGCAGCAGGACCTGGGTGCCACCGGCAGCACCCCGAGTGTCCCACGTGTGTGTCCCCAGGTCCCCCCGAGCGCTGGCCCTGCTGGCTACTCACATCACGCCCGGCAGGCTGCAGGAGCTGCTGGTGACGAACACGGAGCTGACACGGCGCAGAGGGATGGGCTGCCTCTGGTAGCTGAAGCAGCACGTGCTGGGGACACCATCTGTGAGGGCAGGGGACACACACATGGCCCTGGTGAGAGCCCAGCACAGCCTCTGCCCCCTCCAGGGATTTGCACATCCTCAGCTCCAAACCTGCATCCCACAGTGTGATACTGACCCCCCCAACCCTCCCCACAGCCAACCTGACAGGGCTGGGGCTCCCCAGGGATGGCAAAGCAATGCTGGACTCACCGAGGTGACCTTCAGCTGGGCAGAGGGTGGCCAGGAGGAGCAGAGTGACCAGGGTGGCTGCCAGGACCTTCATGGTGCTGTGGGTGAGGGCTCTGTGAGCGGAGCTGGAGCTGGGGAGGCTGCAGGACTCTCTCTGTGGCCCTGGGGCCGTGCTCCCCTTTTATCCCCATCCGAGGGGCGTGTGCAGGGTTTCTGAGAAGGAAAATGAGGGCATCACACTGAGGAAATTATGTCAGATCACCCCGTTTTGCTGAGCTGGAAAAGGCGAGGAAACTGCGGAAGGGGAAGCGCCGGCCACGAGGCCGCAGCCTCCGAGATGCTCCTTGGGTGCCTGGTGCTCCCAAACTGTGCCAGGGCTCTGCAGCAGCTCTGGGGGTGCCCTGGCATGGACATCCCCAGCCACTGCTGCTGGCAGGAAAGCTCTGCCAGGAGATAAATGCCAACTTCTCCCTGGGTTTGCCACAAATGCCACTTCTCAGCCTGCTCCACCACGGGGATCCGGAGTGAAGTCCACAAATCTGCACACGCCTTCATCCCCACTGATAACACCAGCTCCTGCTTGGACAGGGAAAATCATGAGGGAATGAGGCTGTGTTGAGCTAGAAGTCACTGTGGGTTTCACATTTGTCCCTTTTTGCTGGTGGTTGGTCAAAAGAGCAATTTTCTCACTGGAAAGGCTGCAGAGACATCGAGTCCCTGCAGGGCCTGGACTCTGGTGCCCTGATCCAGGCCAGCAGCCTGCCCTGCCATCCTCCCTGTCCCCTGGCTAAATTTACACCTCTCTAAGGGTTCCATTTTGGCTGCATTGCAACACTCAAGTTGTTGCAATAACTGCTTGCCCACTCCTTCCCAAGCAGGATCATTTAATCCGATTTAATCTCTCCTGATTTAGCCCCAAAAAACAGAGACTCCCATGGTAGGACACAGCGTTAAGGGTTGGAGGCAGAGGGAGGAGAGAATCCTTCTGGTACCCACTGGGATCAGCTCGCTGCAGAGAAAATCTCCAGGAAACTGGAGGGTGACTGAAAAAAGGCAGCATTTGCAATTCCAGAGAGTAATTCCCCAAACACTCCCCTCTGCTGCACACCCAGACAGAGTAACCTGCCAAAATCTCTCCTTCCTCCATTTTTTTTTTTTTTTGGCCTTTTCCAGCCTTTTCCTGATGCTGCCACAGAGGGTTTGCAGTTACCATGCAAACCTCAGCTTCCCCTGGCCTTGCTGCTGACCCTGCCTCGGCTGTGACTAATTCCTGACTGATTCAAGGGAAAAGTCCAAGTGCCCAAAATGCTGAGCCATGGCACTGCCTGTGCTCCCATCTCCACTTCTTGTCCAGCAAAGCTTCCCCAGCCACCAGGTCCTGCCTGCTGTGAGCATCTGTGGGACAGGGAATGGGTGCAAGTCATCTCCTGGAGCTGCTCAGGAGGAGCTGGGCAGGGCTGCTCTGGCCTTGGGGTGATGGAAGAACAGGTCCAGCTGCTCCAGCTCTTTCTCCAGCTCCCAATTTTCAGCTCTTTCTGTTTCAGCCACTCTGTGCATGGAGCTACGAAGTGTGAAAAACGCCAGTCACTTGTTTTAAAACTTTTTACAGTTTAATAGTATAAAAACAGTGATAAAAATTAGAGCAATAAGAATTTAGACAATCAGAATTAGGACCATAAAGGACAATAAAACAAAGAATTATGAATGTCTGGATGCTCTTGGGCACTAAGCCATGAAAAGCATGACTTGTGAACAAAGAATTAACCCTTAAAAGCAACAGTCTGTTGCATATTCATATATCTCATACATGATGCATAAATTCTGTCAAAAGAAAGAACTCTTTCTGATCAGTGTTAATGTCTTCATCTTAATCCTGTGGTGTCCTCAGGGCTGAGCGAGGCAGGAATAAGTTTCTTCTGTTAAGGGAGTAATAAATTCTTTTTTTCTGGAAGATTTAGGTGTCTTGATGCAAGTACCTCATTCCTTTCTTCCCACCTACATAGTTTCTATTTGAACTACAAAAGCTCCATTGTAACTACAAAACTACATTTACCATACCATTAAAATGTTAATACAGCACTACTAATCAATATAACACAATACATATAGTAAATATCTGCATAGAGCCATATAATGATCACTTTTAACAGAAGGAATAAAGAAATTAATAAATCCTTTGGATTTACCAATAACCAGGGTCTTCATCTGTGGTTGTTCAGGAAGATTTGGAAAATTCACCTGCTGTAAAGGCTCCTGCTTGTCACATGTCCCTGGATACACAAAAGCAGAAGGAAGGGACACAATTCCCCAGAGTAATGCAGACCTGCATGAGTTTATTCTGTTTTTCTGCCCTGCTGATTGCAGAGACACTGAGAGGTTTCTCTAGAGCTCACAACACAGAGCTTTCCCCACACCTCTGCCCTCAGCCCCCCCTGGAATTCTGGCACCTCTCCTGCCTCACCAGGGTTTGTGCATGGGGGAGAAGTGGGAGTGGGACAGACAGGATGAAGGAAACCAGGAATTGCTGGCTGGGTCAATCACAGGAACAGCATCCTGAGCTATCCAAAGCCTGGCTGGGAATTTTTTTTTTTGGAGAGAGCAGTCCTGAGCCAGGGATGAGCTGAGCTCAGCTTGGTGGGTGCCCAAGCAGAGGGAAAAGAGGCAGGATGGGCAGGAGAGCAGCACTGGGGGACAACAAACACCAGGAGCGTGGTGAGGAATATCCCACAGCCAAAAAAGCCTGGAAACAGAGATCAGGGCACTGTGGGCACTGCAGTTTCCAGAGGATGACTTGTCATCAGGCAGGAACCACAGAAAATCTCACAATTAATAGATTATTTCTGACGAAAAAAAGCAAAACTGTTTCCTCTGTGCTGCAGAAGTGACTGGCCAAGCTTTCAGTTCTCCATTCAGCTGAGGGCCGGATGGGACTTCTTACTGGATGCTGATGAAATATTTTCCATTGTGACTGGAATGGAGGATATTACAGAGAATTGCACAAAAGTGCAGCTCAGCAAGAGCGGGCCGTTTGTGTTTAATTCTGTTTAAGGAATTAGATATAAGGAACTGATATAAAGGGAGAGTAAAGAAATGCCTTGTGGTTTTATTTCTCCTGCCGTGGAAGATCTCTGTGAGCAGGTGATGCTTGAGTCCAGCAGAGGAACACAAGAAAGCAGAGAAAGAGAAACTTCAGCTTTACAAATGCAAATTTGAAAAAAACTAAAGAAAGAAAACGCCCATTAATTAGGGAGGGGAGTAAAGAGCCAAAGATGCCACTTCTTTTTTGGCTTGTCTGGTTATGGTTGAGTGCTCAATGCCACCAAAATATTGTGCACTCAGGAGAGGAATGAGAACAAACAATAAATAAGGAATAATAAATAAGGAATAAATAAGGAAGAAATAAGGAAGAAAGAGGCAGTTGAGGCAGGTGTAGCCAAAACAAAAAGGCTGCAAAGATTCTCATACATCCCTCCTGAGCCAGGCTGTGGCCACCTCACCGCCAGACAAACTTGCATGGGGTGGGAGAGCAAACATGGGCCTGGTCTCACAAAATCTGATGCTTTTGGCACTGCCTTGCATGAGTATCCCAAAGGAAAGGAGGAAATTAGGTCTGAAACCCCCTCAGCCCCCGGGGCTGTGCAGAGGGACCATCCCTGACTGCGGGTGGGACAAGGGGGAGCAGCCAGGAGCAGCAGGGACAGGGTGGGGTCGGAGCAGACCCCAAATTTGCTCAGTCCTGGGGTGAGGAATCTCTCCCTTAGGGCTTTTATCCCAGAAATAAGGGAGAAGAGGAGAATCACAGAATATTCGTGAGCTGGAAGGGATCCACAAGGATCATCCAGTCCAGCTGCTGACCCTGAGGCAGAGGGATGCTCTGGGCACCCTTTTCAGGAGAACACCCAAGGAACCAAAGCAATCTCTGCCTTCTCCAGGGCAGGAACCCACGGCAGGAAGAAATGAAAGTCACTGCCAGCGCCTGGATCCCGTGCAAGGGCAGAGGAAGCCACGGGGGTTATGCAACCTCTCCCTAGGAAGTGACACTCATTGATAAAAACGCTGCAAAAGGTTCCTGTGGCTCGGGGTTCTGAGAAGAACACGGGGCAGCCTCGTGGGCTGGCCCTGACCCTTGTGTGTGTGGTTTTGTGGGAATTATTCTGCTTTCAGAGCAGAGTCCCTACAGCAGGCCCCGCTGATGGATTTGTCATTTGAATTTCCAAATGTTCCTTCCCTCCCTGAGGATCCTGTGAGACCCCCCCAGGCCAGGCCAGGTTTTCTGTGGTCCTGCATCAAAGTGGCTTTAGCAGCAGAGAGGAAGAGAAGGAAAAGATCAACCTCTCCCAGGCTGCAGCACACCTGGCACTCCAGAAAATCCCCCTTAAATTAATTAAAGAATTAATAAACATTTCTGTGCTGACAAGCACTGACCCCCAAGACAACATTGCATTTAACCTGAGGCCGTAAAGAAGGCTTCCAAAATTGAATTATAGAACTTAGATTATGAGTGTGTAGTTTGAATGGAAGTGTGTAATAAGAGTTTAAAGTTTTAGAATAGAGTAATATATATAAAACAAAATAGAACTTTGAAGCAAAAGCTAGTTCTTCTTCTTCATAGGTTTGAGTGGTATTGTATAATTAAATTAATTGTATAATTAAATTTAAAAATCTGCATTGTGGGACACAAGTAATTAATTATTAAGTTAAAAGTAAAAATAATTTTGGTGTCATTTCTTAATTAGACAGTTTATCCTTAAAAAGCCTCGTAGAGAGAGAGAGATACAGCTCAATTTTTAGTTTATTTTAAACTCACCATTTAGTTTATTTTTAGTGCTGTGGAACTCACAGCTCGTGAGACTGTAACACAAATGAGAATTAATAAACATCTAAGTCCAAATAAAAAATACCATCTCACACATTTAATCCCAATCTCTAGTGGGATCAGTGGGGGATGATGTCCAGCAACAGGGGAGGTGATTTGGCACTGCAGCCA